CATTGTAACATTAATACACCAGATAAACCTAACCACCAGATAAACCTAACCTTAACCCATGTAGTTCCCTTATATTACCCTGTACTTTCTACAGGCAAGTACACGGTACACGTACTGTAAAATAAAGTGCAACCGAAATCTTTAAATCTTTGAAGATCTTGAAAGTCAAAATCATCATATTCACTGTTTCCCGTTTGTTTTCCACAGATGAAAATAATAATCATAACACTGGTTTGGAATGACATGAAAATGAGCATGCTTTTAATATTGCTCCCGCAAAGCAGTATCACTTTTTTATTTATTAATTTATATCTGACAATTTAAAATCCATTTTCTTTGTTATATACACTACTGTTCAGAAGTTTTAGGATTGTCAATGTTTTTGAAAGAAGTCTCTTCTGCTTATAAAGCTACATTTATTTGATTAAAAAAAAAACAGTAAAAACCTAAATATGAAACCGTGATATATATATATATTTTTTTTCAGGATTTTTTATTGAATAGAAATTATTTATTTGGAATAGAAATCATTTGTAACATTATAAACGTATTTACTGCCTTTTGATCAACTTAATTTGTCCTTACTGAATAAAAGTGTTGATTTCTTTAAAAAAAAAATTGTAGAGTAACAAAAAACTCAAGAGTAACAGAATTTACCAAAAATAACAGAAAGATGTACTGTAGGCTATGTAAGTTCATTCGATTTGTTAATTCTAGGTCTTTCATGTGTAATTTTTCACTATTCAACAAATCCAGTTAAAACTGAAAGAACTCATCCCTCTTTTAAAAACTTTTTTTTACAAACTGACATAAAAAGCTGAGAGCCATTACATTAATATCACCATAATACCCAAGATACTTTATCCATTTTAACTGAATTCCTTTAAAAATATATATATTCCTATACACAACACATATACAGGTCCTTCTCAAAAAATTAGCATATTGTGATAAAGTTCATTATTTTCCATAATGTAATGATAAAAATTAAACTTTCATATATTTTAGATTCATTGCACACCAACTGAAATATTTCAGGTCTTTTATTGTTTTAATACTGATGATTTTGGCATACAGCTCATGAAAACCCAAAATTCCTGTCTCAAAAAATTAGCATATCATGAAAAGGGTCTCTAAACGAGCTATTAACCTAATCATCTGAATCAACTAATTAACTCTAAACACCTGCGAAAGATTCCTGAGGCTTTTAAAAACTCCCAGCCTGTTTCATTACTCAAAACCGCAATCATGGGTAAGACTGCCGACCTGACTGCTGTCCAGAAGGCCATCATTGACACCCTCAAGCAAGAGGGTAAGACAGAAAGAAATTTCTGAACAAATAGGCTGTTCCCAGAGTGCTGTATCAAGGCACCTCAGTGGGAAGTCTGTGGGAAGGAAAAAGTGTGGCAAAAAACGCTGCACAACGAGAAGAGGTGACCGGACCCTGAGGAAGATTGTGGAGAAGGACCGATTCCAGACCTTGGGGGACCTGCGGAAGCAGTGGACTGAGTCTGGAGTAGAAACATCCAGAGCCACCGTGCACAGGCGTGTGCAGGAAATGGGCTACAGGTGCCGCATTCCCCAGGTCAAGCCACTTTTGAACCAGAAACAGCGGCAGAAGCGCCTGACCTGGGCTACAGAGAAGCAGCACTGGACTGTTGCTCAGTTTTGCATGTCATTCGGAAATCAAGGTGCCAGAGTCTGGAGGAAGACTGGGGAGAAGGAAATGCCAAAATGCCAGAAGTCCAGTGTCAAGTACCCACAGTCAGTGATGGTCTGGGGTGCCATGTCATCTGCTGGTGTTGGTCCACTGTGTTTTATCAAGGGCAGGGTCAATGCAGCTAGCTATCAGGAGATTTTGGAGCACTTCATGCTTCCATCTGCTGAAAAGATTTATGGAGATGAAGATTTCATTTTTCAGCACGACCTGGCACCTGCTCACAGTGCCAAAACCACTGGTAAATGGTTTACTGACCATGGTATTACTGTGCTCAATTGGCCTGCCAACTCTCCTGACCTGAACCCCATAGAGAATCTGTGGGATATTGTGAATAGAAAGTTGAGAGACGCAAGACCCAACACTCTGGATGAGCTTAAGGCCGCTATCGAAGCATCCTGGGCCTCCATAATACCTCAGCAGTGCCACAGGCTGATTGCCTCCATGCCACGCCGCATTGAAGCAGTCATTTCTGCAAAAGGATTCCCGACCAAGTATTGACTATTGAGTGCATAACTGAACATAATTATTTGAAGGTTGACTTTTTTTTGTATTAAAAACACTTCTTTTATTGGTCGGATGAAATATGCAAATTTTTTGAGACAGGAATTTTGGGTTTTCATGAGCTGTATGCCAAAATCATCAGTATTAAAACAATAAAAGACCTGAAATATTTCAGTTGGTGTGCAATGAATCTAAAATATATGAAAGTTTAATTTTTATCATTACATTATGGAAAATAATGAACTTTATCACAATATGCTAATTTTTTGAGAAGGACCTGTACATATACATGAATATGGCCTGGAATATGGCCATGACGTGTCTTCCCACCAGTGGTGGAATGTAACGAAGTACAAATACTTCGTTACTTTACTTAAGTAAATTTTTCACGTATCTGTACTTTACTTAAGTAGAATCAATAGTGCATACTTTTTACTTTTACTTCGTTACATTTTGCAGCAATTATTATACTTTCTACTCCACTACATTTCTACAACGTTCTGTTACATTTTCGTTAAATTTTCTGATCAGTTTTCCCCTGCCAAAACGTCATCCTGACCGTCTGTTCATCGCACGTTTCTGTCTCACCAGTGAAGTTTGGTTGCCATAGATATATCAACCCGGTCACACTAAATGCGTCTCTATAGCACGCAGTGTGTTTATCGTGCAATTTATACGCGAAAATTAGTTTTTACATGCATAGGAAACGCATTGGTAGGTTTAGTAGTGATGTGGGGTGCGTGTGTATTATACGTTTGGTTAGGATTAGTATGGCAAGCCAAGAGGTTCAGAATTACGCCATAAATGAATCGCGTTTACAGCCAAACGCCGTCATATACGGCGTTTTAACATAATATGTGTGTTTATATATATATATAGTAAGGGTATATAGTAAGCTTCATGTGTATATTGCCTAATTGCAAGCTTGTGTTCAGAAATGGTGACAAAAACTTAAAATATAACTGCTTTTCCATCATATTGAACATCATTATATGAGTATTAGGTTGAATGAGTTAGAATTAACTGTTTTATTAATCATTAGAATATAGACATTAAGAGAACAAATTGTTATGCAAGTACTTTTACTTTTAATACTTAAAGTACATTTAAAATCAGGTACTTTTTACTTTTTACTTAAGTAGGGTTGTCATTGTGGTACTTCTACTTTTACTAAAGTAAATATGTCTCTGGTTATTTGTACTTTTACTTAAGTACTGAGATTCAGTACTTCCTCCACCACTGCTTCCCACATGGTTGTTTAAGAAATGAAAAGCTACACACTCCATCAATTAGGGTTAGAACTGTTGCCAAACATATAACACGCTAGAAACATAATAATCACTGCAATAATAATACATTCATAGGCTCTTAAAGCTACAGTCCGTAGTTTTTCCTCTTTGTCGCTATCTCTGTTCGAAATCTGCAATTTCCTCATTCAACTCATGTCCTTCCCTGTCGGCCTTGAGATTTCACGTAGTGTAACTGCGCAAAGCTTCTAGGTTGTACGTCACACGCATCACACACATGACCAGCGTCGGCCAATAGTGAGCCTACGTGTGACGTACAACACAGAAGCTTTGCGCAGTTTCACTACGTGAAATCTCAAGGCCCACAGGGAAGGAAATGAGTAGTTGAATAAAGTCGTTATTTTTGTTTGTTTTTTGCGCACAAAAAGTATTCTCGTCGCTTGATAAACTTAAGATTGAGCCACTGTAGTCACTCGGACTATTTTAACGATGTCTTTCATAACTTTTGGGCCGGCCAGTTTCGATCCCTTAAGAAGCCTGGAGGAGTGATCCAGCTGTCAGATTTAATAAAAAATATCTTAATTTGTGTTCCGAAGATGAACGAAAGTCTTACGGGGTTGGAACAACATGAGGGCGAGTAATTACTGACAGAATTTTTATTTTTGGGTGAACTAACCCTTTAAATCTCACGTTCGCTTATCATATCACGTCAAACCGTGCAAATTATACTTTGTTCTCAAATTGCTAATGTTAACAACATCAGCATTGCGTGACAACATTTAATGTGTATTAGGGCTACCTGTAGTTCAGTGCTCTGTAACTGTATGAATTAAGCAAACAAGTGCGCTACTGTTACATAATTGAACCACTGAATTGTCTTACCTGTCCAGCAGAAAAAAAGCAGTCTCTGCGTTCTGAACCCCTTCAAAACACGGAGCTCACGCCACCTTTCAAAAGCCCTTCTGATATTTATCCTTGGTTTCGCATGGGCCCGGTTGCAGTCTCTTTTTTTCTGTAGCCACTCTGAAGTCTTTTGCATTTTACAGCGGGTGAGTCTCCAGTTGTCACTGGTGATTGTCGTTTGAATCTTTCTGGATCCGTCATCAAATTGAAAAGTTTAATTATATCAAGTGCTATGAGAAAAAGCTATAAATCTCCACCTCCAACATCCTCACACGCAATATAGCCGACTAGCCGAGACTCCTTCTTTATGTGTACAGATGTAACGTAATGACGCAAAGACATGCTCGAATCTCCCGCGGAAATCCACCAGTACCACTGGAATTAAAAACATTATTACAAGCTTACCGTTTTGAATCGAGCTACGGCAAGCAGCGAGTTTTGAACACTGGCTAGTTATGTACTTGCTCAAAAATTTATTTGGGATAATTTTTAACCCCAAAAAGTTACGGACTGCAGCTTTAAGTTTTTGCCTATTTAAATCCAAACAGCACCTTTTTATTTATTTTTGGCCGGACAGCATGCAATAATGCAACACTGTCAATAGAGATGTTTCAGAGGCATAATCTCACCGCGTTGAAGTTGTGGAAAAGACCAACGCTGTGTGGAGGATTCGTCTCCATTTGAAACTGTAGGAAGGGCTTCATATCCAGATGAGGCTGGATGACGGTGGGGGTCCGCAGAAATGTAGGGACACCCCCAGTTCGGTTGATGCTTCCTGGAGAGACAAGAAGAATGAAGTTAAAGAAGGCAAACGCACAAATTCTTACTTTAAACTTTCCAAATGAGCTTAAAATCCTGTCATCAGGTTAAATTTGTAACACCAAGCCTGAATAAAGCTCCTTTTGCTCAAAATATGACTTTCTTGCCATACAGAGGTGAAGCACGGTGGCTCAGAGGTGGCTGTGCTGACACATTTTTTTGTCAGCACAAAACTCATCAGAGAGATGTCAACCTTATGAAACAGCCCCCTCTTTTCTCTCTCTCTCTCTCTCTCTCTCTCCCAATCCACATCACAGAGTCTCTGTTCCCTGTCAGCCTGTCTTCTCTTATCCTTTACAGCCCGCGCAACCTCTTGCATGAGACCGTGCGAGGACCCTCTCGTCAGAATTAAGCTTTAGCGAGCAGTTACTTTAAGCTGCTTAATTTCTGCTGCTGGATTTTCCTTGCCTCGAGTTCCCCGCAGTCTTAAATCTGTTCCCTTCTATCTCTCTCCCTCTCGCTGCCTGTCTCCTTCTTAATCTAGGATGATTTTTTTTTTGCCGCTTCTATTTCAAGATTGCTCGTCAAGCCTCTACTCTCTCCTGACTTCTCCAGCTCTTCCGAGCGCCGTTGAGATGGTTTCCTCACATAGAAAACGTCATTAGGCTGTGCTGCAGTCGAGGCTGCTGTGGGCATACATGTCAGGGTGAGCGGGGAGACAGAATGAAGGAGAAATGGTGAGAGCACTGGAGAGATATGCTGCCTCAGCCTGGCCACAGCTGTTCCTCCTGCTCTCCTGCTGGAGCCTCAGGCCTGGACGAGCCTTGGCATCGTTAACTCAAATTAGGCATGCAAGACTCCTCACTGGCTGCGCAGCACACAGGGAGATAAAGAGCGGGGGCCGGGGGAGAGAAAGAGAAGAGCTAGAATAAGGAGGCAGACTGGTTGCAAGATTGTTGGTGAGAGAGAGAAATTGCCAGTGGTCGCTTGTGGGCAATGCTGGTCCCTGATGCAGTGCTCAACAAAAGTCACATGACTCACACTCTAAATACTCCCTTTTGCTGCAAACGGTTCTCTTCAAAAGTGCCGCAGTGTGCCTTAAAGGGACAGTTCACCTAAAAATGTAAATTCTGTGATTTACTCATCCTCTGATGTTGTTATTTGTTCCATGGGACACAAAAAGAAGATATTTTCTTTAAGTATATAGTTGCCTGGGGCTTTCAAGCTCCCAAAAGGACATAAAAGCACAATAAAAGCACCATAAAATTTCAAAAAGTGATCCATGCGACTCATGCACTGTATTCCAAGTCTTCTGACGCCATGCAGACTGAAATTTAAGTCATTATTTACTAATATCCTTCACCTTTATCGAACAAACAATCACACTTTTGTTTCAAATTTATGACCAATATATACCACGGCTTAAAAGTTTAGGATAAATTTTTTTTTTAAATAAAATAATAAAATATATTAATTCAGCAGGGACGCATTAAATTGATCAAAAGTGACAGTAAAGACATTTATAATGTCACAAAAGCTTTAAAATAAATACTGTTCTTTTGAAATTTCAGTCATAATATTTTTTCAGGATTATTTAATAAATATATAATAATATTAAGCAACACAACTGTTTTCAACATTGATGATGATAATACGAAATGTTTCTTCAGCATCAAATCAGCGTATTTATTTCTGAAGGATCATGTGACACCGAAGACTGAAAATGCAGCTTTACCATCACAGGAATAAATTACATTTTTAATATTAATATTTTAAATTGTAATGATATTTCACAGTATTTGTTTTTACTGTATTTTTGATCAAATAAAATAAATGCGACGCAAGCTTCAATTAAAAATAAAAATTATTTTGAAAACCCTTTTCATGAATTGCAGTATATAACTTTAATTTTTAAGTGAACTATCTGTTCGTCTGAACGTCCAATTCCCCCTTCAGCCACATAAACAAGACAGAAGACTATAAGATCTAATGTAAACCGCCACTCTCGCTGGAACTGTTTGCTTGTCACTGCAATACACATAATTCAGGACATGTGTGACTGATCCAACGAGAGAAGTTTGGTCTGTTCACATGCCAGCTGAGAAACGACACAGATTTGTTGACAACCGAGAGAGAAACACACAGGGGATCAGAACACGAGTGCACTCGAAGTGTGTGGGGGGACAGTTGTCCTTGCAGCAGAGTCAAAGTGTGTGTCAAAACAACACGGCCAGCATGCATAAATCAGGTCCAGTCTGCTTCCTGCCCCTAGTGTATAATTACCTCATTAAATTAAAGAACACTTTCAGGGCCCAGCTCACACTGTAAATCACTGTGACAGGGTAAATGCATGCGAGTGTGTGTGTCATGTAGGATAGAAAGGGGAATAAGATTTCATACTTACTGTTCAGATAACGTATGGCGCTAGAACGCATCTTAAACCTGCACAATGACAACTAAGACCACTGGGTTCAAACAAGCACGTTGATTGGACACTGCAACACTACCAGATCCTCTGCTGACAGACAAAGTGCCTTGATGATAATACCAGCGGACTTAACAGCCTCATCAAACCCATGTGGCGCATGAAGAGATGTTGTTCTGCCACCGTATCTCAGTCTGATTTTCCTAACAAGCTGCGGGAACCTGATCGGGCTGGAGCAGGGGGGTGGAGGACCGTGTTTCGGTTGTCGTTTAAAGCCAGTGACATGCTAGGAATCCTTCAACACACGCCGGGTCCATAATCACCCCCGTTTAAAGATCCTGCGGCAAGGGGGCAGCCAGGGACCGAAGGACAAACGACGCGCACAGGGATAAGGGAGCTGGTGTGAAAGGAATCTTTGGGAAGAGGATTTGGGAGAGAATGATCCACAGGGCTGTGTGTGGATATGGGAGAAGTGGGGTAGAAAGAGTGGGGGAGGAGAGGTTTATAAATAGAGAGAAGGGCACAGGAAGATCAAAGGCGAGGGGAAGCGATTCAACAAACTCGAATAATTCTGAGCCTGTTTGGGCCTGATAAATGGAATCTCAGGCGTGCCTGTCGCTCTCTAATACTGAAGCTTGGCAATCCTATTTCTTACCCCATGCGTTTGCCATTTTCAGAGGGCTGGAGTAATTGTGAGGAGCGCGGGGGGAAGATAAGGATGAAATGGTTTGGAGATAAGGAATAATCATGATGAGGTCAAGGCTGACAGACACGGAAGGAAAGGAGGGAAGATTTCTGCGATGGTTGAAAAATAAAAGGATGTTAACGTTAAACACACTTAAAAGTCTCTGGGCTGTATCTCATTAGCTGGCTGGTCACCTTCAAACTGCGAGGTCAGTAGTTTAATTGGTGGAAATCGGTGACTTGGTTTCTTCAGGTGCGGAGAGGAACCCACAGCGTCTCTGGCCTCAGGCTGCTCCCTTGGGCAACATTATTGCACATTTGAATACAGTACGCAGAGAGTACAAATTGCTCTCTTTATATTTTTGACACCCAAGAAGCAATATCATTTTGCACCCATTCTAACATGATGGGAAGCAAGTAAAAAAGAAAAAAGAAATAACATGGATTATGTTTTATTTTATTTTATACATTTTACATTCAACTGTCTTAAGACATTTCCCCCTGTTTGTTGAAAAAATATAGAATTATCATTATTTTTTATAAACATGCCAATCTTGTTAAATAAGCCAATAATAATACAAATCATTATCATTAACATTAACATAATAATTTTAATTTAATTTGGTAAAAAAAGCATATTGACAATAATAATAATTATTATTATTATTATAAATATGCCAAATTGGTCAAAGAGTTGCAAATTTAACCCAGATTAAGCTAACAACAACAATTACATTATTATTATATATTTTAAATTAAACTCTAATTATTAGAATCTAATTATTTTGCATCCTGCTGGAAAGTGCCATATACTTCATTTCTCCCTTCTTCTCTTCACAAGCTGGGATTCCATCCAAACGTGAAGCAAATCTTTTTAAAGTTTGCAAAACAAATGTGAATTAGGTGCGTTTCCCTCAAGTATTTTGAGCAGATGACGGTGGTATGGTAACCTAACCAACAGTAAATAAAACACTATCAACAGAAACAGCCGATTAGTCATGGGGGTTTAATGTTCTCTACATCAGAATTTATTCGGGAAATGTGTTTCCATCTCACATTAACTCTTTTTCGCACAAATCAAGCCTTGAGCAAGCGTAAAAACTTTTTTGCGAATTAAGGGATTTTTTTTTATTTGCCGTTTCCATTACTCGTTTCTGCTGCGATACTTCAAAATGCATAAAAACAGGGTGATGGAAATAGCTCGACTGTTCCCTTCTGTACATGCAGGTAAAACAAGTGGAACATGAGTGAAGGAGGGATGCAATGAATGCAACAGCAAGAAATGAGAGAAAGGGTAAAAGAAAGGCATGAAAGGATGGCTGGCTTTGGATGAACACAGATGTCCCCTGGCAAGCAGCAGTGGTCCTGAACAAATTGGAGTGAGTGAGTGAGTGAGTGAGTGAGTGAGTCAGAAAGAGTAAGCGAGCAAAGGGAGGAGTGAAACCCATGGTCCCTAAGAGCCCCTCGTTGAGCACCTGTCGTGCAGATGATCCAGGGAAGAGTGAGATTGGAGCAAATGCAGATTAATGAGATGAGAGATGCAGATAGATGTTTAGTCCCCTCTGAATCCACTGCTCTCTTTCTGTCTCTCTCTCTCAACAACCATATACTTTAATCATCCTGATGAGCTTTAAATTAGCGCCATTCAGTGCTGACTAGAAACTAACTAAAAGTAGACCTCAGGTTTCACACCCATAACATGATCTTGAAGGCAAAAAAAATCCTCAAAGTGACTATTGTATGTAAACGTCCCTAATAGAACAAAATCATGAATAACATCCCCTTCAACTTCAAGGGCACAAAAACAGCATTTGGAATTTGCCCATTACGATGTTTACACATGAAACAGGTGACATGTTTACTATTATTATTATTATTATTATTATTATGTGTAAACATCGTAAAAA